TCCCGTTCTTCCTTGAGGCCCACTCTCGAGCCCCGCCAACAGCCGTACAGTGGCTAGTGATATACGCAAATTAACATTGTCCACGAAGACAAGGCGAGTTACCGTTAGCCTATCTGCTGGCTGTCTGACGCGTCCACAGGCGGCGGATAGTGGAACGGCCTTCAGCGAAAGTTAGCTGCGAAATAAGCAGGCTATTGGGTCTGGCGAATAAGCAGTCGCGGACCGGCAGCGACAGTGTTACCAGAGCACGGAGGGCTGAGGTCTGGCGTACTGACTGCCTTATAAAATGTCGCAAGTTCCAATGACGGCACTGTGACATGGCAAGCGTGAACCGCCATTAAATAGGTTTTCTTGCCATCGCTGTCTTGTGGTTAGGTCCTTGGGCCTAAGTGCTAGAGGAGACAATCCCGAACAAAGAATCCGAGCGGCTGTTGGGGACCCGCCTTTATTCCAAATCCCCAAGACACTTCATGAATAGGTCTACAACGATACGAACACAAGGGAGACTGGAACGGCCATTTCCGACTTATAAGCCGCCATCAGGCAGCTATACCCAACCAGACGTGGCGCGCCACCGAGGGCTCTAGCCCGTAACCTGTTTATTAGAAGGCCAACACTTTAACACACTGCGCTACGGGATGGTTGTCTTGCTGGTTTCCATCGGGAAGATTGAAAATGGTAAATGGGCACTCACTGATAGGTTGCGGGGATCACTTGCCCCGTTTTGCCTTGGAGCTTACTCTAGAATACTAAAGAACTGAGCACTGAACCTAGTGAGGGCCTAAATACAGTACAGGGAAACTATTATACTTTCTATTCCTGGTCATAATAATGGTTTTAAAATGACACTCGCACATTTCCAGTGATTATATGGCGTGTTTAGTGTTGCATAATCAGAAAGAACACTTAAACTTTTCCACAGTTGTTCAAATGTATTTATACACAAAAGGTAACAGGGTGGCTCTGAGAAGGTGGTCACGATTTGTCCGAAGCCCTACTTAGTCTAAGCCTTTTCTTCCCGCCGAATAATTGCCTATGCAAGTAACATTTCGAGTCCCGAAAGGCCTGTAAGATAGCAATGACCGATGGATATTTTATTCAAAGTAAACAAGGAAAACCCGCATTCTCTCCATAACTGACCTAAACTATGTTTGTTCTTATGTGGCTCTATCTGTTTGGAACGCCGTTTAATCCCTCCTCTTCTCCGGACGCCACTTTATTCCTCCTCCCGTTTTATTTTCTTGTGAAAAGTTAGAGCTACCTTTCAACCACACAACTCACAAGCCTTTTTATGTCTAACCGCCGAGGATTCCAGCAGGATGTAAGAAATTAACACTGCGACCAGGGAACAAAATTTTGCTGATAAAGGAGCATTTTAGGTCAATTTAATCTACACAGGTGGACCTTGCTACCGGCCGTAGTTCATCCTGCATCTGGCTTTCCCGGTGCGTCCGGTGCAAAGAAATGTCGCTACTTCGTACATTCGGAAGATCAGCTAACCGTAGTTGAAGGTTTAGCATACGGTGCGAATTCGAGATGCAGGAAATCTGGCACCGACTGGCTACACAAAATTTCCGACCAACGAAGTCTCCCTTTTTATGTAGCCTTTATAATTTTTGGCAACAGTCTAGTATAGGACTCAATACGGAAACCAAAGCCCCAGATTTCTGTAATACAGGATCGGTGGTAATAGGATTTACATGGGTGAGGCACTACGGGTGCGCAGAAGAGAAAATAAAAGAAATATGTCAAACAAAAATCCATTAAAAATAGATATAAATTACCGTTTGCCACTGGTCACACATTAGGGAATTCTGAGGTTTTTGGTTTCCGTCGTGAACCTCAAAATAGACTGTTAGCTTATTTTATTCTTTTTTTCTTGTTAACTATGGCAGGACATATAGCGTTCTCCGATACTCAGGTCTAGGTAATATCAATATTGTACAAATTATGGAACGTGGTTTTAAGGTCATTGGTGCATCTCTATGGGAGTGTCTCTGGTATTTACTTATTGTAGTCGATTTAAATGGAGTGAAATTTTTTTAAAATTTGGCCATACAACTGACATATCGGAATTTTCTTGAAAAACTTGAAGTTGGAGTGTCCTGAGGACATTATGCAGACAGTTGCTGACCAATTTCATGAACAGTAACCAAAATTCTGAAAATCTAACCATATTTGAAGAAGACGTGATTCTCTATCAAATGAGTACAAGAAATGATAATGAGGTTTCTATAAAACAGTTGAATTGCTAAGGGTATCAAAACTTCCTTATTAAAGAAATGCATGCTAGTGAAGTAATAATTTTTATCGAAGGCAAATTTTTCAAGCGGTCTAAATGGCACACCTTCGAAATCATATGACATTTCCGAAATATTGTGCCGCACAATGATCGAGCGTACAGCTCCACTTTGGTATACTTTTCTAATCAAAAACTTATTTTAGAATTTCGGTTTAAGTTTCACGAGATTGGTCACCGACTTTAAGGATAAGTCTGTTTTGGCAAAACAATCAAATGGGAAATCCTCCACCTATTCGGAAACCTTGTGACCATTTTCAGGTATATTACTGCTATTGCTATGGTTGACTTTAGGTTTTTTGTTAAGGTGAGCATTAAAGCTGAAGTTACCGTTAAGTTTAGAGTTAAATTTACATTTAGGGTTATGAGGAAGATAAAAGTTTTTGTTAAGGGACGTAGGGTTAGCGTTAGAACACAGGCGTATCTGCACTGCCTGGGATATCGCACAAGGCAACTTGTATTACCAGGGGAGTTTCCTATTCCCGTGTTTTACCCTAAATTTGTCTACCCGGAGTAAACATTCCGGTTCATTTAAAAATTATATTGTTTGCCTATAACTGTGATTGTAGGCTTTTCTCCACAATATTTTAAAATTCTTCAAAGAAGGTCAGATGAATCTCTTAGGTGGATTCAACAGGTTCCGTCATCTTAAGTAGGATTTGCTCTTCTGAAACATGACATTAGATAACCACTTCCTGCACAAGAATGACGTATTGTTAGGATTGCTGACCATTGATTTAAAAATAGGTTTTTTGGAACTTTATGCGGTTCAGACGAAGATTGTCGACATGTACATGGTGTAGTTGTACGAGCTAAATTCCTAGTAAGTCCTGCAATCTACTCAGATCAGTGAATGTCACCTTAATGAGAATTTACGTACTTTTGATGCCAGCCACCGCAATTTTATTCAATATATAATCTATGGGATATTGACTTTAACCGAGGTATAACCAGATTAAAGCCTCGCGTCCTGGCTGTCAACAATATAAATCCAGAAATACCCCTTCGGTCTTATCCTGTTTAGCGGTAAAACTTTTTTTATTATAGGATTCAGCGAATCACTGGAATCTAGAAGTTGATATTACCCAAACGGAAGTTGGCCAGCATAAACTTCGCGCTAAAATGGCTACAATGTGAATAAGCTGTTTTGTAATGCCTCAAGCCATCCCTCATCGTTAAGTATTGACCTGCTCTGGCTAACTGTAATTCCAGGCATAGTAAATGTCGACGTAGACCTCAATAAAAAACAACGCTCCATTCGCTCACCTAGATAACCAGACTCTATCCTGTTCGTATTTAAAGTTTGAATAAGCTGGAAATTTTGAAAGTTCCTCCTCTTTCCTTTTAGGATCAAGATTCGGGCATGGGTCGTACAACAGATGAAAGCGTCCGAACAGCCGAAAGTTCAGAACAGGTACTTTTGTTTTCCGCCTTTTTTCTCACTTTTTCGCCTGCCTTTTTTGGGCGTCCGTTCTACAAAGGGCTCTTTTTATTGCGATAGTTTTTGCTTTATAAAAGGAAACCACTAGTTAGGATGTCTTAGTTTTCTGTGAAAGCAGACCAATACGGGAGGTTGGAATGGCAGACGAAATTGTGTAAAGCATAGTAAATTGCAACAAGCACGGGCTCCGGTTTCACAGCCATGTCGCCGGACTACTCGTTTGCTGCACCCCAAGTTGGAGCCGCAAGCGACACAGAATTAGGAAAGTGAATATATTCTGCTCCATCTCACACAGGGTTGACCAGGGTAGTGGTCGTGATGGTGGCAGTTAAAAATCTATCCACTGTGCAGCCCACTC